TGTGAAAGGGGTTTGTCAGGAGCTGCAAACATATCATGAGTGGCAACTGGGAACTACAACAGGACAGGCAGCAATTCCACTTGGATAGGCACTTTGGAACTGGATTGCCCCAAGGATCACTCAGGAAAGCCCAGCTACATCCTGCTGTAAGGTTTAAGGACCGTACTGGAAAAATACCCCACTAAAAACCTGTTTCCATGCACAATTTAAAAATGTTACAGGCAATCTTATGCAAGAAGTTTGCTTTAAAGTGAAAATTACACTGCAACAACTTCAGCTGCAGTACAGGACTAAAGATTTTATCTTTTTTTTTGTTTTAATTTTAGCAATGTTATTCTGTAGATTAAAAACAAAAAAAGACAGGACATTCAAACAATTGTGTTGCCATGATTTTCAGGCACATTGTTATTTGTCAGAGATGAGGGGCTAAGCGTACTGGAATCTAAGGTCACAAGTGCTCGAAATCTCTGAAGGCTCCTATGACTCAGATGAGAAAGAGCAACATGGGAAGTACCTGGAAATTAGTGAGCAGACCAATCCCGCTGTCAATAGCCATCCTCCGGATCACATAATTATCATGGACAAACTTGGTGTTACTGGTAGGCAGGTTAATCACCAGATCAATTTTCCCATCCCTTACCAGCCTGAAGAGACAATGCACAAGACAGTATCAGAGAGTGTGTTGCTTAACGAAAATCTGTGATGAATAGCACAGGCATGCAGGTAAACAACACTGAACATTTTCATTCGAGTTTAGTCTTACATCCCAAGAAAGGAAGGTTGAGGGGTTAAGGCACTAAGCTGCGACACAGGACTTTCGGCTTTATTTCTGTTCTATTCAGTGATGCAGAGCAATATTCAGCCCTCACACAGCTCAGCACAACTCTGTTAAAGGCATGACTGACTGTCACTAAAGGCTAAATATTCAGATCCTACATATCCTTGTGTGAAAATATAGCATGGAGCAACACATCCAAGCCATATCAAATAGGAGTGTTTAGTGAGGTGTTCATTGAGCCAAAGCCTTCCTGCTGTGGCAATTCCAGACAGAATCAAATAAAACAAAACTTTTAGATTGAATCCCACGTCCCATTGAATCACTATCATTGATCACAAGGCCAGCAATTTACCCCTGGATGTTCACACAAATTTTACAAGGTGAGTACTGCTTTTACCTCCTGACTGGAGGGAGGCTTGACCTCTGGTTTTCCTGCGATGGCCATGCCACAGGATTTGCTGGGATATCGTTAGCATTGAGCCAGTCCGAGGTTGCTTCTGTGGCATAAAGCTGGTAAAGGAAAAGAAAAACAGATTACTTACTACACGCTTCATAATCTCTAAACTTTTCATTTAACTCATGTGAGCCTGGCCCAACATACAGCCTGGTTTTTGGGTGTTTTTCCCCAGCACTAAGTTTTGAAAGGCAGAACTGCATATCTAGCAGTTACGCTAATGCCACTGAGAAACATAATACTTAAATATTTAATACTAAAAATCTGTCTCAAATTTTCTGTGGCTGTGTTGTTAGTTACCCTTCAGTAGGGATAGGGATGCAAAATGGTGCAGAAGAGTTATGAGAGGGATGTAAACACCAAAATTTCGTATTTCTGCAGCCTGTATCACTGAAGATGAAACACTATAAGACATTCTCTATGCAAAAGGCTTTCCCTTCCTCCCCTTCTGTCACACACAGCATCCTGATGGCATTTTTGTTTCTTGAAGAACTTAGAGGAGTTTATCATGTGACAACCCTGGTTGCAGGCCGATAGCAGAGCCAGTGTTGTTCTTGCCCTCGTTACAGTCCTGTGTGTTCAAATAAACGATCATGAAGAACTTGAGTTGGGTAACACCTGCTGGCTTTATGGATCACTCAGCTAAAAATTCCTCTTGTACTTTGCAAATGTCCTTCTTTCTCTACCTCCAAATAAACTCTGACATTCTTATTTCCTGTAGCAGGCTGAGTACTTTTCAGATTTTTGAAATTCTCTAGCTTTAAATAACCCAAACCACCTACCTTAAAACCTTCCTTGTGCAGTAGTTCTGCTATGCTGAGGAATCTGGGGCGGAAGGACTTCTGAAAGAGGAAGTTTATTAGATACAGCATCAAAGGTAGGATTTAGAAACAGTGTTTTGTTGGGCAACACGAAGCTCATCCAGACTGTGCTAAGCAGCAAGTACACCTTTCTGTGCTGAGTGTGTGTGTGTGTGTGTGTGTGTGTGTGTGCAAATGCACATAGGAGCGTCTGGCTGTGCCCATACAGAGCCATTCCAAGAAAACTGCTTGGATCCTGGAGCCCAGGTCACTCCCAGCTAAGACATATTTTGTTACTACGTCAGGGTAAGTGTTCTCATACTAAATCCAACTGCAACTACAGAAGATTTACTACTGCGATTTAGTATCTGGGCACTTGTCTTCTTGAATACACCAACTAGAGTCTCCCCAGCTCTTAATTAAATACCTTTTCAAACATTGCTCAAACATTTGGCCTTCTCTTCTGGCCAACAGATAACATATATGGACAGGCTTTGGGCTGCTTTAGGGTGCTCTGTTTGTAAATTCACATGCCTGTGTGTGCATGAGTTCATTTATAACTCCCATGGCCATATGGAAATGGAAAACACAGAACCACCCAGGAAGACTGGGACACCCTGTTCCCATGAGGACCCGAATGCTCAGATACCTAGAGTACCTTGGAAAGACTCTCTCAAAATGCATACCCAGCTCCAACATCACTGAGAAGAAGTAAAGATAAGATGATTTCCTTTAGACATCTGCACTTCAACAAGCCATTTCAGAGCAACAAGTGAGTGAAGATTTGACTCCAGCGTAACTTTCTGCAGGATGTTGAAGGTACAGCAGCGCAAAGATCAGATGCAACACATGCCCTTCTCATTGCCAAGGTAGGCCAAACCTCACTTTTAACCTTAGCCTGGTCTGGCCATTTGCAAGTAAAACTATTGCAAGCTCCCTTCTCTCTGCTGGAGCTACTGATGGCTTAACCTTTATGGGTAAGAGAGCAATACTCTGGAAGGCTGAACAATTTCATCTGAGGAGCACTCAGGAAAGAACCTCATTCTGAAAGCCATCTCATTCTGTACGCTAACTGGAAAACATAAATACACTATGTGACAGGGTTGGCAGCTTCCCAGACAGAGAGAACGGTTCTGCCTTCTGGTCAGGGGTGCTGGCTTTCACAACAGTATTATAAACTTCTATCAAACATGTACTGAACACTTGTGACACATAAAACAGCCTCTCCATGAGAAGAAATTACAGCTGTCAGCTTGCATTGGAGCAGCCTCAGATTTACAAGCTGGCTGAAAGAACCTGTGTAAGAAACCATTAGTTACTAAAGGTGAAAAGTACAAACAGATTTATTTAGTGCGAGATATTTATTGTAGGAGAATTGTATTCTTTTTACTTTATTGGAAAAGCTCTATTTCTTATAACCTCTCTCTCATGTTTGCTCGCATGCCTTGCTATTTGTAAAGGGCTACAATCCTCAGTTAATTCAACACAGCTACATCAGTTCTCACTAAGATCCAGCTCAAAACAAAGCCAGCTTCTCTCCTGTGATAATCTTGAATTCTGTATCCAAATCCACTGTGGGCATGTAAAATTTCCGGTACATAAGGAACCAAGGCAGAAGGTTGTCTTGAAACAACAGACTTGGGAGTGCTGGGATTTAAAAATAAAATACTCCGTCAATGCTTTCCGCATCTCATGGCCACCAGCACAGATGTAAGACAGATGCACTCCATCCCAGAGATATCACTGAATAGCCCAATCAGGAAAGAAAATAGAATGAGCTTTTCAACTCCTCTTCCACATAATATAAATTATTTAATGGTTTCAGCATCACAGATTTCTCAGAATTGTGAAAAGAGGTCAGATTATCAGCTTGCATAAACTGGCAGAGATTCCTTTGCCTAACAAGAAAGCTGTACTTCATTTACCCTGGGAGAGCACCAGGCCTTTAAAAATCTCAGGGAACGTCGACCTGCACAATGTCGGTGCTCACAAGCAAAGGACAGACAACGCAGCGGGCTTGCGGTCCCTGCTAGCTGCCCAACCTGCCTTGTGCTGTCCCACAGATGTCAAGGAGTGCTTGCCTGTTTGATCTCGAGGGTGATGATTTTGTTAGCAACAATTCTGTGTGGCCCTGACAGGATTACTGCTGGAACTGCAACCTGTACGTGCACCAACTCTTGCAGAGGGAAGCCCCTCCGCAAGGCTGGGTTCGTTACCTGGGCACATTGAGACCTGTTTGGACTGCAGATCGCAGTGCAGGCATTCGACTCTTGATCTGCAAAATACCCCCAAGGGAAGCATTTGCAAGGAAACAAAGATCTCCCTCTTTACTATTGTTAACCACATTTATTTGACTTTCACCCTCAAGAAGGCAGCCTCCTCTCATCTCAACATAATTAACAGCAATGAAATAAAAGTGCACTATAGCAGAAAACCTATGAGTCTAGACACTTTTGAGGGAAGCAGAACTCACCACCATTTGACTACTTCTTTCTCTCTTTGTAAGTCCTAAAAGTCCAGTCTAAAAATCAGAGCAAGCAGCTAATGATGAAGCAGTGAAGCCTTCAAAAGCTGAGTGCGTTTTGAGTCCACCAGCCACTGCAGATCAAACATAGCGCCTTCCTCAGAGACAACCAAGTGGGTTGCTGTACACGCTCCTGACAAGAATCAGCCCTGAGTGCACCAGAAGAGGTCGCAGAAACCCTCCCACAGTTTGAAAGCCAGGGGCCGCTGCCTGGGGAGGGACCTCCAGCCCATCAGCCCCCTCTCAGCAACGCTACTTAAACATTAAGTGATCACAGACAGGGGTGACCTGGCATCTGTCCTTCTGAGCCTGTATTTCCCCTCCGAGGATACACTGACAACTTTGCCAGTGTGAGGTACATGACCCCGTGGTTGTTATTAAAGTGAGAACAATGCTGCTCGTGTTCACAGCCCACCTTGTGCCTCGATCCTTGCTCCTCCTGTTTCTGCAGCGAGGGGCTCCTCTTTCCCCAGCCTGTCCTACTCAGGGAAGAGCACTTCATCTACACGTCAGGACTAGGTCAGGTTTTAAACCTTCCCTTCCTACAAGGCTTTATTTCCCCTCTGCCTGCAAACCTGGCAGGTTTCAAAAGAGAGCACTGAGAAAAAGGTAGGTGACAAACTCCAAGAGTTTGGTTCTCGGCACTAACTTTGCACTTCTCGTTTTGGAGTTTAATTATGTAAGAAATATGCCGAGATGAAGAGAGACCTTTAAGCGATTGATCTGCTGTTTTCAAGTTTCTTTTGCAAGAAAATTAACTGTAAACCACTCATTAAAATGGACAGAATCTTGTTACTTTTAAAAGGTTTGAGGGGGTTGGGCTTTTGGGGTTGTTCTATCTTTTTCTTCCTTCTTTTTTTTTTCCTGAAGACCTTTGTACAAAGAACATTTGGCTCAGTTTAACAGATACTGACACAGAACCTACATAAATGCTTTCTATAGCTAAAATTACTCTTTGCTGCCTGTTCCCTTTTAGCTGCTATCAGGAAAATAGGCTTACATTTTAAACACTGGGCTCTCTCGGTTTTTTTCTCCTGGCATTTCTTTACTCCTTTTTTAAACGCTGTTGTAAAATCTGCAGTGATTAGATATATGATAGGCCTACAGTACCAACTACCCAGAGTTCCGTATTAAACTTTTAAACTCTGTCTAGGTAGCAAGCAAAGACTTTTCTGCTAATTTAAGGTAATTCAGAGCAAAAGCTTCAGCCCACAGATGTGTGTACAGATGTATATACTCAAGGACTGAGCAATAATCTGTGTTAGCAGAAGTCATGTTCCTTTCTGGCCACTTTTCACACCCTTCCTTCACATGCTCTGCTGGCACAGACAGCCCAACATATTTTTCCCACCTCAGTTGTCTGACAGAGAAATGAATCTATTCTAATTTTTGTTTTATTTGCTGTATGCAATCATGTAGGGCACAAGCTTATTACAAGCATAATGGGGAAATGGCAAGAGGCAATCAGTTGTCTTCACAGGGCCTAAGCATGTTCTAGTTGCTGTGGAAGTATCTGAATTTTTGAGGAACATAAACACATCTCAAAGTTTACAAGCATATCTGACTCCAGCACCTCCCACAGTTGGTAACCAGCCTGTGATAAAACACAAATGCTTTTTGCTTTTCTGCCTAGCTACCTTTTCATCCTGAAACACACATCCTTCTTACTGGTAAAGAATTACGAATGGTGCGGGGCTGCTCCTAAGGCAAACCCATCAGCAACTCCCTCACATGAAGACTGTTTGCAGAAGCCATTGCACTGAAGGACATAATGACACCATTTAAACTTTGTCACATATAGCACCTCTGGGGGATGCTGACAGTAAGAAATGAAACCCTAAAGTCGAAGCTCTAGTCTGCTATGGATTCAGTGGACCTGCAGAATGTGTCTGAGAGACAGTCCCTAAGAGCAGAGTGCTCCGGCAAGATACAGAAACCAGAAACATCACCACACAAATTTTGCATTGGTTCTTCCTTTGAGCTACTTACTCCTAGCTGACAGGAGCTGCATGGTAGGGAGCAGTATTGGCCACACACCATCATCAAACAGGGAAAGGAATAAAGGCAGCCATGTCTCTAGGCAGCCAGGAAAGCAGGCTGCGGGGTGAAGAGTGCTGTCCTTTAACCCCTCAGCCCACTGCACTCAAGCATATTCCCATTGTGACTCTAATGAGGAGAGGAACGTGACAGTGCCATACCTGTTACACCAATAACTAGCCCCACAACATGATGTTTTCTACAATGTCAGATGATGCTACAGCTCTGCTTGGAATGAAATACGTGCATCTATGGGGAAAGCTTAGCAGGTCCAGCTTTGCAGTATGGAAACTGTTACGCTGCTTTGTGGGGTGTGGAGGGGAACTGGTTTCAAAAGGACAAGAGGCAATGTACAGACCAAGGGAGTTTATAAGTCAGGATTGGAAAGTATCATCCCCAGGGCTTCCTCTTGGGAGGGAGCAAGGAGCAGGCTCTAAGCTCTAGCTGGGACCTTTCTCTGAACTGATCATCTACAGGCTTTGCTCCCTGCAGGAAGGTGACTTCTAACTCTCTGATTCCAGGCCTTCGCTTGCAGCAATCTTCTGCAGCTCCCAGTAGAAACTACCAGGAGCCAGAGGGAAAAATCAAACCAAACCAAACCAGCCCCAGGGAATCCAGTAAAGATCTCTCCATGGTGTTTGCTTCTTACTGTCTTACTGCACTTCAAGATGGATTGCAGAGAAACGCATTTAAGCCATAAGACACACGAACAAAAACAAAGCAACTGTTACCGAGTTCCTCTGTGTCAGTCCTTTCTCAGCTTTGATTTTCAGGACTCACCTGGATTCCAATCAAAATTCCTTCCTTAGGAAATGTAAATCCTGTGGCCAGCATAGCCTTCTGGAAGGCAGAGTACACATCCTCCCCGAAGCCTGCGACCTGAGAAAAGGCACAAAGGCAGCATGAGGGGGAAGACCCAAAACCAACCCAAAAATATTACTTTAAAAGGAATCAGGAATGGCATTTTTAAATGGGGTCTTTTGATTTCTTCGTGCAGAATCAGAGTGCTTTTGCACGGAGTCTGCAGGCAGGGGTCGGGGGGAATAAATCAGAAAAATCATTGCAGACAAATCTCATCATTTTAATGAAGCAACAATAAAGGAACAAATAACGCCTTAGTTTCAAACAGCACACCAAGGAGTAACAACAATTGATTCTTCTGAGTTATGGGAATGCTGTACACAGCCTCTGCTCCAATGTCTGTGAGCGCACTGCAAATTGTTTAACATTACAATACGCTTAAACACCAGTGAGTGTTCTGCACGCAAGCATGTTTCTGTGTGTGTACACTGCAACCTGTGGTAAGACAGTGCTTGTGCTGTCATGTAATTCTGGCATTTTTTAATTAAGATAAACCACAGCGTATAAAGATCCTTTTCCATTAGATGTCCATAGAGGTACAAAATTCAAGTAAAGTATTAGTATGTACTTAGGAAAACAATAAAGCAATCATGCCAATTCATAATAATTTATTTTACATAAACAAAAACTTGATAAAGAAATCAATAAAAATAATTTAGGAGTTCATCATTCAGAACTGCCTGCGGAGCTCAGTTGCTTACAGACTGTCATACAGGAATGATCTTCTGAAAGAACTAAACTATTTCTTACCAGAATTTGAAATTCTGATGACAAAAAGAAGAATACCCGAGTTTCTGTGAAAGTTGAAAAGGAATAACAACCAAACAACCAGAAAAAGCACCACACAGCCCTCACTTCTGGCCAACTGCACACTTGTTGAAAAACAGTCAGAAGAAAAAGCTGTCAGATTCTTCTCTTTGAGATAACAAATCTACACCCAGATACAGATGGGATAAAGGGGCTGATTGAGAATTGCTCTCCCATTTTCCTCTTATGGTCCTTCCCATCAGAGAACGAGCCCTCACATTCATGGTCTCACTGTTACCATGGTGAGCAGGAACCAATATTTCACATATGAAGAAGAACAAATGATGATTTCCCAGATCTTCGGAAGTAAAAAAAGAAAAACTCAACCAAATAAGAATGCCTCAAGGGGAGGGATAAAAAAAAATCATGACAGCTAGTATCAGCTTTTCTCTACAAACTCATCCTTGAGTGCTCAGACTGCTCTACAGTTCCTTCTGGCCGAGGGGTTACGCATGTCCTGGACTCTCCAGGCTGGTGGACAGCCCCTTGTAGGCTTGGACCAGGGGTTTCCAGTCTGCCAGGCAAGGTTTCTCATCATGGTGCGGTCAAAGCAGCCACAGTACCTAAAGGGACCCCCAGCGCTGTGTCTTCTACCGTTGTGGGAACCACGACTTGCAGCAAAACACATCTCTGGCAGACAGATATGACAAATTCGAGCCCAAATCAAGCCATGTGTGTGAAAAATGTCTTTGAGGAATAATTGAGTACTTTATCCAAAGGCAGTTATTATCCTTACTTCGCTCATAAGAAAGACTTTCATAACTGTCACATTTTATGGCATTTGTGAATATGGATCTTTCCAACTCATAAAATTTAATAATCCCTCCTTTATGGCCAAGGTAATCTCTAACTCCTTATAAAGCTCAGAAAAATAATTCTCACCATTAGTTACATTTTTGGGTTGGTTTTATTTTTTGGTTATGTTTTTTTATTGTTTTGGACTTTGTGGGTTTTTTTTCCTGTGGGGCAGTGGTTCTGCGTAGTCAATTCTATCCTGACAACAAGGAAGTCACGGAAATCACTTGGCTTTTTTCATTAACTACACTGGAAGGAAACCTCCTGCAATACTGATTTCCCCCACATTATGAAGAGCAAAATAAAGTAATTCTGTAGAGATGTAGGACACCTAAGTCTGTTCTTACCTCGTATCTGGGCATAGTGTTTTATTCATAGTAAAATGATGAGTCCTACAGCTCATGTAGACATATCCAAGCTCATATCAAATGGAGCACCCAGGCTCTGCCACCCGCCTGACAACGGCAGAGCAGAGTCAAGCCTAATCAAATTGCCTCATTACTTAATCACTTCCCAAGTGGCCTTTCTAGCCCAGAATAAGTCTTTTGCTACTGCAGTTCTTTTCTGGAAATAACAGAGCAAGCAAGTTTAAAGATAGCTTGGATATATCTACACAAGCTATTGACAGCTCAGCAGTAACTCAGAAACAAGCCTCTCTGTTTCACATGAGTTAATATCTCTTCAAATGATGTAGATAGAAACCTCTACCTCTTGAGGGCTGAAGGCTCCCACCAGTGCTGAGCCTTCACAGGAAGAACAGCTTTGTACCTTTACAGTGTGCTGTGCGTACACCACAGACATTTTGGAAGCACCTCCCAACCCTGCTGTAGAAAGAGTAAGCAGTCCAGTCTCCCCCTCATCCTCCTGACAGTCAGTACTGCAGACAGCACATTTTGTTCACTCTTTCTCGCCTTTTGCACCCTGGGACATGCTTTGACGGTTACCAGGCAACAACAAAAACATCGCCACAGATATTTGTTGCCTTTAAGTGACTAGCACGTTCCCAGACCAAACACTCACGACCCGGAGTCTCGATCTTGCTATTCTGGCATGTGTCGATGGGAGGGTTTGAAAGCTGTAAGCACTTGTGTGTTTAGAAGCAGGCGATTCATAAAATGGACAGACGCGACAAGAACCTCCCAGAACCCAACCGCTCTCAGATAAACTCATTTCAGGCTGCCACACCAACCAGGTCCACCTCAGGGAGCTGACGTGCAGGTAAAGAGGGACATCCAGTGGTTGAAAAGTCCGGGTTATCCCAGGCAATGTGTTTTCACAGCTAAGAAAGATGGTTTTGATCTTCTGAAGAAGCTACAGGTGCCATCATGATTCAGGCAGTAATAAGATCACTTTCAAAGATTCATGATGTTTAAAGGCAATTTTGTTCAGAAGGAAAAAGCAAATTTAAAAGATACCTCCCCAGTAGAGGCCATTTCACATCGGAGAACAGGATCAGCATCTCTCAGCCGAGACCACGAAAACACTGGGGCCTGGTGAAATAAAGAGGAGGGAGGGAGAAAGAGAATGAAAATCTAATGGATCATTAAAAATAATAATAATCAGCTACGCTTGGAAGTGACAGAAAGAGATGGACACGAATTAATCCCAAAAAGGCACTGGTCAAGGCTGATAAGCAAAGGAGTGCTTGGCAAATGAGTTCCCCCAGCATCTTGATGAAGGACTGGAACAAGTAAATACGCATTTCACCAATGAATCGTTCTTTTAACTCTTGCAGTCCTGCTGACAGTCTGACGGTGGATTTCTAATCCGTGGTAGCCCTCTATCATTATCATTTTTAGGACACATTTTAAAACAGAAAGGCTGTGAAGCATCCATATAATTCATGAAATAAGGAGAGATACCATCCCAGAGCCAGTCAGTTCTTCCGAGAAAACTGTTCTCCAACAGAAATCTTTCACTTACAGGAATCAAACTATTCCACAAGAATGCACTCTTGTGGTGTACAACAGACGAAACTTCACAAATTATTTTCATATTTCTCTACTTCCCCCCATAACACCTGTGTTTTATTTATTATTATTAATATTAAATCATTATCTGAGGACTTGGGTCACTGGGGTCTCTGAGTTCTCTTGTCTAATTTAAATAAAGGGAGGGAAGAGAGAAAGACATTTTATGTTAAAGAGCCAAAGACCGCATGTGGCAAACATGCAACAGATTTTCTGCTAAGGGATAATTTTTTATAGGGCTTCTCTACATCTTAGGATACTGATGGCATTTTCATAATGACAGCATCCTTGCTGCTTACAAAATAATCTGTTTTTAAATTAAATCCAAAGACACAATTCTGTTCCTTGAAGTCTCTGAGGGTAACACTGCAGACAAGACAGCTGCTGTTTCAGGACACCCAACAATGACCAATTAAAATGTGACAGTGGAAATCCTTTGTGAAAGGTTTATCAAAAAAACTCATGCGTCTTTATGACTTTCAGATCAGTTTTCCTTCTTCTATAAGTAAAGAGAAAACTCTTACAGTGGCCAATTCTACAGTCTCAAGCTAACATATGGCAGTCAAGGTGGATTATTTTTAATGCACAGATTGCCTTGGAAGGTAACAAGCAACAAAGCCTCCCACCAGCTCCCGAACTTTTGCCTGCCATAGACGTGAAACGTGCATCAGCAGGAGCAAACTCTGGCACTGCAAATCAGTCCTATTTAAAACACAGTCAGTCATGCTTTATCCAGGATTTAATCTTGGTCAGGCCATGATACTTGTGTCACTCTGCAAGCAAACGTGCCAAGACAATTTCACTCACTAAGGCTAAAACGGTTTGACTCTGAATCCACAAAGGAGCTATGCCGAGAAAGAAGAATAGAGTTTCATATTCTCTCTTCAGAGCATTTGAGAACTGCTGGAGAAACAAAATCTCATTTCCATGCAAATATTCCTAGCAACAAAAACGTAAGAGGACAGAAAATACGATTCATGAATACAAGAATCAGGCTTAACCAGAACATTTTTCAAAGTTTAGCATTTCCAAAGGTATTAGCAGGGTTTTTTTATACTAGACAAATCTACACAAAACACAAGTGGTACAAAAGGCTTCGTAGTTTTCAAGAATACAGTTGGGTTTTTCAATCTGTAGCCAGCATTCCCAGGAGAGAGAAAATTCTTGACAGTTTAGCTAACAACAGTGCAAAAGCCCCAGGTCTAAATAATAGAAATTTATAACAATAAATAAGACTCACAAAATAAAAGAGTCTCAGATTAGAATTTCAGATAATGCCTATCAGCGGCATCAAAATAAAATGTAAAGCTACTTTTAGACTGGCTGGCTTACCAAGAACCTGAGCTGGCTTGGGCCAGAGATTTGGCTTGCATTTTAATGAGTCTGAACATTTTGTTAGTAAAAAGATGTCAGATGTTTCCTGCTTCCTCCATTTTCACTTGATATGGACGCAAGTTTCTGTATAAACAATCCTCATTATCCATTTTATTTTCTGGACTGCTGTTCTAGATTTTTATGATTAGGAACTTAGGTTATTTTTTTTTTTCTTCCATTAAACATTCAAAAATATCTGCAGTACACTTTGGTGTCTTGAGTGCCACATAAGCTCGGTAATTATGACAAGGAAAATCTTGGCCCCACTGAAATCAAAGGATCCAAGACTTTCATCCCCATTATAACTCATGGTGAATATAAAGGCAATTCCATGCACTCAATAGCTCATGTCCCAGTCCTGAGGATAAGATCTGGAGGGGGCACTCAAAACACAAATCTGTGCATGTCCGCACATATATTAGACAGGATTTTGAAACAGCCTGAACCTCAGTGCTCAGTTCTGCAAGTGTGCATTTATTATGCAGCTCATAAACACGATTCAGAATAGGTCAGAAGTAAGAAATAAAGGAAGATTGATTTTGTTAATAATCACTGGATAATTTTCCTTTGATTTTTCTCTAAAATTCTCGACATACGTTATCCTGACAGAAACTACAAAAGGTCAATTTTGCCTTTGGCCAGTGAGCAAACTGTTCTCTCTGGGCATTAAAGTACTAATTGCCCACTAATATGCTGGGTGCTGGCTCTGATGTGGGGAAGGGGGTTGGTGATTTTGTTAAAAAATCATACCTTAATCCCAATATATGTGGATGGAATCATGGGAAGTTCCAGTGTGGGGAGTGATGACTCATTAACCTCTTTTCCAATCATCACTTTTGTAGCCGCATCGATGAAGTCCACACCCAGAGCCTTTGACACGAAAGGGAAGGAGCGTGAAGCCCGCAAGTTGCACTCTATCACCTGATGGGATTCAAGAGGAGAAACACCAGTGAAGAAATAGATTTATTCATATTTCTGGACATTAGTCTGCACTCATCTTGGCAGAGATGCTCTTCAGATTGCCAAATAAGAGACACAGAAGTTGTGTTCAATATTACAAACAGTGATGAGGGATGCGTCAGCTTGAAACACAAGGAGCCTGATGTTCTGCAACTCAGTTTCAGCTCTACTGTCTGCAAATTAGAACTGAGAGCAATCCAAAGTTCACTTTGGAAAATGTGTCGTACTATACCCTAAATTAATGGGCAAGAGGCATGGAAACCTGTGCACAGGCACTAGGCACAACCTTTAGAAGCCCACCTTGTTCTTTACCCATGGTAATGGCACTTCATGAACGACTGGGCTATCCTCACCGACTTTTCTTATCTATATGTGCAAGCCATTCAGTGACCCAGAAAAGACACAAGTTCTGTAAACTGCTGAGAAGTGCACCATGGAGTTCATTAGCAAAAGAGGAACTGCTGTAAGTCAGAATGAAGGGGGGGCAAGAATAGGTAAGTTAAGACAGAATGGAAAAGCGGGGTTTATCCAGGGAAAAGGCAAGCACAGCTGAGGGAAAGCAAGGAAGGAAAAACTCTGTTCTGTCCCTCTGTGGAAATTGTGAATAAACTAGGCATGAAACAGAAGACAGGGGAAGAATGGTAAGTACATTTTTCTCAACTAATAGCCCAAACAGGATCTTTCACTAATAATGCCTCTCTTCTGCACCGCCTCAGGTTTTCCTTCCAGTCACTGCTTCCTCAGTCGTACTCTGCTCACATTCCTCTGACTTTCTTCCATTAGCAACAGAAAGCCAAATGTCACCCATAAAGGGCCAGACATCTGGTGTACTTGTGTTACTGATAGCTACTGGGACCACACTATTTAGATAACCATCTTAACGGCTTTTACTAAAGGCTTAAACACTTAAATTGTCTTGCTTGCTTTCTGATGCCTTGGAAGGCTTAGTTTAACAATCAAAATAGTTAAAGATGAGAGAAGGCATCAGATATCTAAAAGCAATGACAATCATTCATAGGATGAGGCACAGGTCCCAGTGCTGTCCATCATATTCAAAACTGATCATTTTGGGAAGGGCAGCAGCTCACAGTGAAACAAATCTAGTGCTAACAGACAGTGCAACCAGACTCACTTCACCCTCAAAGTGAAGGCAGGGAAGGATGCTCTTTCCCACATAGAGAGGGAGAGCTGTGTGACTAGGGGTGGCACAGATGAGGCCCATGTCAGACAAGGCAGGCTAGAAACCCACAGCTGCCACTACCACTGAGTTTCCATGGCAGGGACCGCAGGAACCGTGCACCTAACTGTTCAAAGCAGAGCCTGGCTTCAACAGTCACAAGAGCTCTTACCAGCACATCATTGCCTCGCACCAGGAACTGAATGTTGAATGGACCCGAGATGGCAAAGGCATTTGCAATCTTTTTTGTAGCAGCTTTTACCTATAAAAATGAAGTAAAAATTTGTGTATACATAATGAATAAATAAATCCCACAAAACAGACAGCATCACGGCAATAAATCACCTCATGTGTTGGTTCCTTTAAATGTTTTATCTCTCTGCCCTAGCATATTTTTATCTATATCCTCATTTTGGCAGTAGCATTATCTTTCAGAAGCAAACATGTTTAATTTGCCTCGTAACCTAGAGCCCGAAGCAATATTTGAGGGCAGAAGTAAAAACCAGCTTTGTGTGTGTGTGAAAAAACAGGGGAAAGAAGGAGAGAGAATAAAAGCTTGCCCTGTTTATAGACGTTTCCACATCACACACGGGAGCCTTTATACCTTTTTTGGTGAAACAACGATATTCTCCCATTTGAGATTACCCACTCAGTTTTACAAGCGTCCCAAAAGTCTTTCACCAACACGTCTGTCCCATCACAGAGCAGTGGGAGCTGTCTCAGCAGATCTACTGTGGAACAAACTGGGAGAAAACACTACGGTCTTGTTTTCTAGTCTCGTCAAGAAATCACATGCCATTTGAATAGCTTTACTCCAGGAGAGGACTATTTTCAGAAACAAGGCCTTGGACACTCTTGTAAGAAGAGCTGGAGCACAGACCATTGCATTACAGCTCTTGCTAGCTTCCAAGCAAACTCTTAACAGGAGGACATCACAGAGGATGGCACCTTTCATTTAAGAAAACGCAATTTCATTTAGAAAATGCAATGTTGACAACGAACTCTGTGTCACTAGGTTTCTCCTTCAAAGGGGAAAAAAAAACCAATCAAGATTAGGTGAGGTTTGTTCATCCTAATACCCTTTCTACCCTAGCTAGAAAAAACACACCTGATAATCCTTCAAGGATTCTTTGGAATCTGTGGAAAGTGAACTGTGGCATCTATATGAACTAGGCAATCCTCTACTGCTGTAGGGGTTCTACACCAGTGAAACAAAACCAGATCCCCATTGAAGTGAAAAAAAAAAACAATCAAGATTAGGTGAGGTTCGTTCATCCTAATACCCTAGCTAGAAAAAACACACCTGGATAATCCTTCAAGGATTCTTTGGAATCTGTGGAAAGTGAACTGTGGCATCTATATGAACTAGGCAATCCTCTACTGCTGTAGGGGTTCTACACCAGTGAAACAAAACCAGATCCCCATTGAAGTGTCTACATCTACTGCTTAAAGTAATGGGATACAGTTCAGACGATCCTATGTACAGTCACAGGGGGCACACTGACTCCCTATACTTGCACATATCATACTGGCCTTTAAAAAGCATTGGTGATTTGATTTTTTCCAATGGTGAATGAGTTCTCCCAAGCAAACAGGGCAAGCAGATTCAAACTTTTCTTTTCTTTTTTCTTCTTTTCAGTGCTGGTGCAACACCTACCTTTTCCAAGGCTCCCTGGCTAATAGTCTGTGCAGGTAACACAAGAGTGGCATCTCCAGAGTGAACTCCTGCGTCCTCCACGTGCTCTGAAATAGCGTGTGCAATAACCTGCATACAGTAACAGGAGAGCAGTTAGTCATCCCGTCCTCTCCTCTCCAGCCCAGCACAGTCTCCTGAAGAGAGCTGTAGCCAAAAGAGGATAAAGACAGGGGAAAGAAAAGGGATTCCCACGAGTTTTGGGAAAAGAGGCCTGAAGCAGACACAAGGCAGATGAACAAGAGGATCACGTTAGGGTCTTTCACATCGGAGTTAAGCAAATGTGATAAACCCACCACAGTCTGGAGATCCTAAGGCTTCCTTCTAACACACATTGGCTCAGAAGGTAAAAGCTAATTAGGCTTTAAACTAGCTTTTTAGGTCCTGCTTGCCATAAACACAAAAAAGTTGTCATTCCCCATAGAAACAAGTATGGTTTAACATCATTTGTACATTATTTCCCCCTGCCTTTTTTTTGTGGTGTTTTAATCATGGAGAAAAGCAAGCGGAGGAAATTCAGGCTTAAGGATTAAAACTGAATGAATTACATCAAGGCACACCACCTCTATACTGAAAAAGTAATCTTGTCTGCTGGTTAAAAATGAAGACTGAAAACAGAGTATGTCTGTTAAATGAGAAGTTTGGGATTTTTTTTTTGTGAGAACTGCCTTTGATTGGTAATGAAACGCAAGGTGAATTTGCAATGATAAAACAACTCTGGTAATATTGCAACACATGCTGATACAATTCTGATGAAAAAAGCGTGTGAAGCCAGTGATTTGCAAATCCAGTAAAACACATATTCTAAAGGATTCGTTCACATGGTTAAGCAATGCTTAAGAAAATAAACTTTTTCAGTATATACAATACGGTGGGTTGGGCTTTTCAAGCATGATGGTTTTGAACGTAAGATGAATTCACCTTTTCTTGTTTCTCTGCTCTTCCCAGCGTGAATCCATGGCTGTACAGTAAATCATTCAAACAACACATTTTTTGCAAATCTCTGATCCTGGCAATCAATTTTAATATTAAAGAAAAGCAAAGTTCTTACTCTTCCTGCCTTGGCTACAGCATCCATTTCCACCTCACGGGCATCTTCAATAAACTTAGTGAGTACCACAGGGTGATTCTGTCATCAGACAAGACAAAAGAAGGAAGTCTTTATTCAAGAGTATTTGGGGACCTTCCAAGCACTCCACTAGCTGGAAAACCTTTGGAAGCAGAATCCCACGACACCAATCTATTAATATCTTTATTTCCACACATAAGTGGTCTTATGGCCCAGGGAAACACGGGTCAAAACCACAAAGAGCTTTTCAGTGAGATCATGGCACAGATAAGACAGTGGGACAAATGCATGGATCCAGTGACTTCTGATCCTGTTCCAAAGAGAGGCCTTACCTCCAAGATCCTCAATTCTTCCTCCCTCTGACCTTCCAGCCACCTCACTGGACACACTGCTTCACAAAGGAACTGATTCTTGCCATACTTAATGACTTTGTATAGTGGCTGTTTGCTATTTTAAAGAGTCACGTATTTTAGGCAACTGATCCGTTCCGTTCTCATTTCTCTGCCTGGTTTCCTAAGTTTCCCCGGGAGAAGTTGCCACTAATTATAGCTGGGCAGGAACAACCTGTCCTTGATTCTCAACAGTTCCCTGGTGTACATTGTTCTCCTTCCTCTTCTTCCTGCCTATCTCTGGGATGCTAGCACACGCTTCCCACTCTCCTCTAATGCTTTCTCCTTCCAGCCACCTGCTCCAACAGGCAGTTAAAAACATCTCATCCACATTCTTCCTGGCCAGCTTTATGTGTCAACATTTTACCTCTCCGATCCACTATTATCTGTCTGTTATTTATTAGGGAATAAAACGGAATAAATGACAGTCTGTGCATGCTCAGAAGGCTCCTCTTGAAAAAATATAAAGCAACTCCAAAAGTTACAAGACACAATTCCCTACATTTATCAGTGCAAGGGTAAATTCACAGGCAAGGACAATGCTGCAGCCTACACTGCTTCATAAATTTAGTGGCTTGTGTCCTGTAACTTTCTGTCTTGCTGCAGTTTTTCACCAGATTTTATATGTGCATACAGCCTTGTTTACTCCAATCTCTCTCAACTCACACAAAAAGTTTTGAACATTACTGACAACATAAACACCATAATGACACAACACCATAACAGCAAAGTAGATAAAGCAACAGAACCACACTGGCCAGAGACTTTATCTGGAGATGCTCTGTTGGATGGAACAGAACTAGGTAAGGCTTTGTAACCAGAAAAATGACATCTACGTCCCACAAGGATGCTCAGGTTCAATTGTATGCTGACAACTAATACTGCTAGCTTCTGTGGAACCAGTCATAGGCCACAAAGCCTTGAAGAGACTGAAAACTCCCTAATTCAGAAGCAGAATACAGTACTACTGCTCTGGCTCGCTTTTTGCTAGCTTAGCTTCAATTATACTATAGCTTTTGTCAATATAAACACTGGATGAAGAAAGAAGTCTTCCCTTAGCAGCCTGACTACACTAACAAAAATTTATCATGTGAGTCCCTGCAGGATCAGGGCCAGAGCACCCAAAAACTCACGGTGTGCAACTGGTCCTGTTTACAGCAGACATCAGTGCCTTATTGTGTAGCAGAACTGGGCATCATAAGGATCCCATGGGAACATCCACTCT